AAACAAATGCAAGGATGTCTGAATAACAGTGCAAGGCAATATGAAAGGTGGCCCAGGCAGCATGGCATAGTCAAGCAAGCAGAACAGAAGATACAATCTTTTGGAAGAAGTGAGCAACATTAATGCCTTAAGTAATAAAATAATTCTCTACAGTTCTGTAGTATTTTACAGTTTTGAAAGAATAATGTATAAATGTGCTTTTATATGCATCATTCTATTTTATCAGTTACACCTCATGAACTGTCATGTCATTATGTCAAGGTAGAAATTTTCATATAATCCTCACAAAAGATCTGTGAGGCAAGTAATGCAGGTGGCAATATTGTCCCCATTTTACAGAAAAATTAAGCTCAGGAATGTTAAATAACTTACCCAAAATCACACAGTAGGTATTAATTTCCTGTCCTTCCCTGAGCACTGCCACCCTTTTCTCTGTCAATAATTATACAGTTTAATCATCACAGGCTATCAGAGGCTTTTGAAAGGTTAATGGCAGAATAAAAAATCTCAGGGTGGAAAACTTGGCTCTAAATCTTTAGGGCAAATAATGCTATTACCATGTAATATACAAAACTTTTAATTTTACATTTTCAGCATGTTTTGAGAGACTGATTATGTGCATAAAGTATGCCCCAAATCTCCAATATTTCTTTAAGAAGTCAAATTTACAGTTCCCATTTAAAACAAACTATAATTAATGTCAATAAACACCATTCATAGCCTAAAGCACAGGATTGTACCAGAAAGAATTTGGATCCAAAGGTCAACTAAAGAGAATGAACAGTCTAGTGATTATAGTTCTTATCTTCATTCTGGTTTAAGAACAATGAGGACAACAAAGGCAATTACAAAACTAAACTGCAATGAGGAACAATAAAAACCGATGTGCAAAATATTATTTCCATTAAAAACAAAAGTAACAACACTTAAAAAATAGCAACTCTTTTTTCTAAAAAGTTTTTAAAGAATTTCTAACTTCATACTGCCCACCACTTACACCCAATTCCCCAACCGTAGAATTTTGGGGGGAAAATCAAAAAGGGATCTGGGGCAGAGGAGGAAATGAAGAGGAAAACTAGAGTATAAGCCATGACACTATGGAAAGTTGAGAAGGTTAACTGGGAGACGGCACAGAAGTGGATTGCAGAATGTTAGAGCCAGAGGAAAACCAGAGGGAAGATCACATCCAATCCCCTAATTTGACAGATGGAGACACCGAGTGCCAGAGAGAATTAAGAGTCTTACCCAAAGTTCCACAAGCTAATAACTGTCAGAGCTAAAACCCAAGTGTCCTCATGGCCTGGTCTGTGTTCTTTCCAGTTCTCCATACTCTGGGTATCTTGAATGAGATTCATAAGTCAGAATACCAATATTTTCGTGATCATAAACTCTCTTCTTACTTTCCTTGACATCCAGTCGCCTATATACTATTTTTATAAATCTGCTTTAAAATGCTCAGTTTCCTTTTGCCTTGAGAGTTCCTCTGGTCTCAATGGGGTGTGATCTACTTATGCTCACTTCACAGAATTGTTTTCCAGCTCCAATCCTGGATGTCCCCATGGCTACAGCTGTGAGCTCCCAACAGCCACAATCTTTCTCTTAGTAGAGTGTTCCAGGCACTTGGCCTGATCCAGTCACACCATTCTCCCAAGCACTGGCTAGCTCATGCTTCCGAGTTAAGTAAAACATAAGGCTTAATGTGGTCACAGGGGACCAGCCACAGAATACACCTCCACTGTTTTCAGGAACTCATGTACAGGAAATGCTATTAAGGTGTTATTGAAGGTGAATCGTTAATAACAACAAGGCGGGCAACCCCTCCAGGTCCCCTCCCACTGTGAGAGCTTTTTTGTCCTCTCAATAAATCCTGCATCAAAAAAATAAAATAACAACAAGGCAAATCTTCTTTGCTTGGTTGAGTAGAGAAATGTTTCTAAAGTAATTCATGTGTGAATCAGCTATCTGCAAGCATTCATGATAATAAAATAACAGCAAACCGTTAGCCAGCTCTTAACTGCCTGCTAAGTATTTCCATGCATTTCTTTTTAATCCCACACCAATATTATGTGGCAGGCATTATTTTGTAACAAGCTCAAACAGGTTCATTAACTTGCTTAACTTGTCCACCAATTTCTCAGCCTGCGAGCTCTGATCTGTGCTCTTCATCATTTCAACCAAGGACTATCACTTCCAGAGCTAACAGCTTGTTTGCTTGTCTCCTGAGAAAAGTTGAGTCAGAACACATGCATATGGCCCAAGTATATAATTTATAATCTTCTTTCCATAGATTTAGCCCTGGCCCAAGAATTGTGGCCAGGAGTAGAGGTGATATCAAGACAAAGAAGTAGCTAGTCAAAGACATGGTAAATTTAGAAAGCCACCAATCCTGCCCCCAGACTAAACATATGTCTCTTCTCACGTCTGCCTCATCCAGATAGAATTCAAATATTTCATTACTTTATTGGTGAATTTACATAGCTGATAGAATCCCGTACAGCTTGGATCCACCAGCCTAACATGGTGGCTGGAACTCAGGAAACATTCAGTAAATATTGCTTTGAATGAATAAGTGAACTAATGAGCATTTGCTCTCTTCTGTAATATATATATACATATATCTGACATTGTGCATGTCAAGCTCTATGCTAAACGCTTCATATGCATTACCTCATTGTATACTCGTGATAACCCTATAGGTTGATATTATAATCAATTTTATGTTTGATACTGTGGCTTAGAAAGGTTAAGTAACTTGTTAAAGGTGAGTCATCATTGTTTCAACTCACTTATCAACAACCTGATTTCGGACTGAATTTTCTTAACCATTGTACTCTACAACCTCCCTTCTATCTTCATTAATAATAACAATCACTACATCTATATATTTTGCCCTTACCATATTCCAGGCATGATGCAAAATACTTTTTTAAAAAAATTATTTATTTATTTTCTTTTGAGTCGGAGTCTTTGAGCGCAGTGGCATGCTCACAGCCACCACAGCCTGGAGCTGCTGAACTTAGGCAATCCTTCCACCTCAGCCTTTCAAGTAGCTGGAACTACAGACACACGCCATCACACCCGGCTAATTTTTATGATTTATTTTAGAGACGAGCTCTCACCAAGTTGCCCAGGCTGGTCTCGAACCCCTGGGCTCAGGCAATCCTCTCGCCTCCACCTCTCAAAGTGCTGAGATTGCAGGTGTGAGCCACTGTGCCCGGCACATTATTACATTAAATTAATTCTCAAAACAACTCATTTGTACCCATGAGTAGGTATTATTTCCTTCATTTCCCACCATGTGAACTTGGATAAGGTACTTGACCTCTGGAACTCAGTTTTTCATCTGTAAAGTAAGGATGATCAGAACTTACAGGGGTTTTCCGACAAGTCTAGAGACTACATGTAAATCTCTTAGCACAGTGCCTGTGTCCAAAAAGACAAAATGTACATTGCCCTATACTGAAATCACCTTTGCATTAATTGTCTAATTCATTAAACATTATTTAGAGAAGCAATTAATTTGCAATGCAGTATCTTAGGCAGAAATATCATATACCCAAACCCTGAACAAAATGCCTCGGATCTCTTTCAGTTGCTAGCAGGATGCAAACCTCACAGAATAACCACTAGTTAATTAACAAAGGAAGGAAAAGAGTCTCGCAGGTGTGCACAGCCTGGAAAGGCCAAATGTGGTCAGGGTGCCTCCAAAGGATGGTTCCAACAGCACAGATGTATGCAAGTGTATATCTATCCAATCAAAAATCAGCACACATGACTTAAGTAGGTTGTAATGTTTTCAGCTGAGATAGAGCATACATACAATAAAATGCCCTCATCTCAAGAGTACACCAGATAATTTTTTTACATATAAATACACCCCTGTAACTCTACCCTGATCAAGATATGAAATGTTCCCCCAGAAGGTCCCCCCTAACACAGAGTGGTTTATATTCACCAAACAAAGAACATCTTAAGTCAGAACGGAAAACCAGAAAGCAAATACATAGAAGGCTGGATCTGGGGCAGGTACTAGGTAAGAATGAGACAAATAGGATTTATGACTTCATTTTAATGGTGGATCCAGCATAATTCTGTGTATTCACATCCATTGTGTCCATCTATCCTCACAATTACTCTGCGACTTGGTCAAGACGCAAGCCTGTTTTGCATGTGAGGAAACGAGCTTGCTCAGGGTTTCTGAGGAGGACACCTCTATCTGAGAGAGAAAACGGGGTATCTAGAACTTCTCAGCAGATCCAGCCGCGTGGCAGAGAGAAAGGGGAGGGCCTGGCATCAGGTTACCAGGCAGCGCCGTTGGCGGCGGCCTCCTGGCAGGCGCGGCGGGCCTGGGCTATAAAGGCTCAGACCGGCTGCCCTTGACCGCCGGGGCCAGACGCCGCCGCGCGCTTTGAACTTCTCAGAGCTGTCCCATGCGAAAGTGCGGAGACCCGCTTGACGCAGGACCAAGTTACCTTACGAGGAATCCTTCGGCTTGCCCACCTCCTTGGGGCGTTCGTCTGAGGGTGCCTGCGTCTGAAAGGGGTGAACAAGCCACCGTTTCTTAGAAGGGACAAGTCGGTAATTACTATTTTACTTGTCGCTGACGGCTAGAGTGCTATAGTGCAAGGATCCAGGAAGCGATTACACGGAGCAAGGCGCCTACTGGCACTGAGGACAGAGCGACCCAGGATAGAAGCCAACGTGTTGAAAATCTTTGCCTCTGTCCAGCGTGGGCGGATGGCGGTTGAAGCAACAAGCACCCAGGGGTACCTGACCACAGAGCGAGGCAGGAGGAAATCAGTCGTTTTTCAATCACTGAAAAATAGTTTGCCATACAGGCGCGAGGGGGTAGCTTGCTTTGTTTAGGGAAAGGCAGGAGGAAACGCCCCGAGAGCAGAAGAAAAGGGACGGGAATCGCTGCGCCCTGCGGGCCTGGCTCTAACGCCCCGTGTGGTTTGTGCCTTGCAGGTGGACACACTTCGGCAGGGCGTCGCCCGGAAATGTGGTGCCTGCAGCGGCTCCGCCGGGGTCCCGAATGCTTGCGGCCAAGTGGGGACGGGCTTCCCCCAGGACAAGCCCGCGCAGCCAGGCGACGCCCCGTCGCCGCCTGCGCCCACGTGCTCACCCCGGATCGCATCCCCGAGTTCTGCATCCCGCCGCGCCTCGCGCCCCGCCGGGCCCTGGCTGCCCTCCGGCCTTCCTGGGGCGAAGAGGCGGGCTCCGCCGAGGACGCCGGCCGCACCGACTGGGACCCGCGCTCGCAGGCCGCGCTGTCGCTGCCGCACCTGCCCCGCGCGCGCACCGCCTACGGCTTCTGCGCGCTGCTCGAGAGCCCGCACACCCGCCGCCGGGAGTCGCTCCTGCTCGGGCACGCGCGCGCCGCCCGGCCCCCGGCGCTCCCCCGCGGCGGCAGCGCGCGCGGCCGGGAGCCCCCGCGCGCGCCCCCTCCCGGCCCCGGCGAGCCCC